GGGCCCGGCGTGCTCCTGCATCGACAATTCGGTGCTCTACAAGTGGAACGAGCAGGCAGGGAGCTTCCTGGAATTTCAGCTCCTTAGCATCTTCTCAGCACAACGCCGAGCTGTCTCGATCTCCCAGTTTAATGCTGACTACGAGAGCTACCTCGCCGTCGCCTTCTCTTCGTTCTCGCCTCTCCCATGGTCAGGATCGTGCGGAGGAGGAAGAGGTTTCGTCCTCATCCTGCAGTTCAACCACCAAGACAAGGTGTTCGGGAACTTCTCAATCGTCTCGGAGGAAGATAACTACGACGCCCGTGGCTTCTTCTTCAACCATGCCGAGGACTTCACTGCACGGCCCCTCAAACTCGACATGGACCGGGCGCTCAGCTTCGACTTCCTGCCGATGGACAGGAAGGGCTGGCTGCTCCTCTCCTCCTTGGAGGACGGGCTGGTCGCGCTTGACTGGAGCTTCAACATCGTCAAGGGGCTACAGGGCATCACCAGCATGGTGTCAGTGAGCAAGACGGCGGTCGCGTTGCTGAGCACGGAGAGGAGGGAGGTGGTTGTCTTTAACTTCACAGGGGACGAGAACGTGTGCATTGCGAGGACCGCCATGATCGCAGAGTCCTCCTCTTCCCCTCCTCCTCTCGTCCATGAGAACCTTCTCGGCCTTGCTGGCAGCAGCCGCTTGCTCGCTGCCTCTCCCGATCGCCTCCTGGTTGACTCGACTGTCCCAGAGTCGGAGATGCTCTGTGGGAGCTCTCCTCCCTCTCGGTCTCCGATCGCGGAGGAGAGCACGCTCAGCTCGCTCGCCGCAAATCTCTCCTCCTGCAAGACGCTCTCCTACCGCATCTCCGCTTCCTCAGATGGTCAGGATGTCTCCGGGCTCTTCCAGGTGACTTTTGACTTCCTCCTCCTGCTCGTCCTCCTGCTCGTCCTTGCTCCTCGTGTTTTTCTTCCTCCTCATGCGCCTGCTCTGCTCCGATGCTTCTGCTTCCGCTCCTGGTATTCTTTTGACCCTTCTGCCCTGAGCAGATCGATGCGGCGGGTGACCTCAGGGTCAACATCTCCAACCTTTCGCAGCTTGTCAACGTCAACCTCCAGCTGATCAAGACGAGGCAATCGGCAGCTGGGACTGAGCTAGAGAGCGAGCTGGAGAAGCACTTCACCTTCTCCTACCGCAACAACGTCATCACTTTCACCCTCTTCAACCTTTCCTTCCCAGCTGACCCCTACCAGCTCCATACCCTCATGTTCGCCTCCGATATCTCCGCGGGAGGGGCGGAGCAGGGCTGTGTGCAAGCTTTGGCAGGAGCGATGAGACCCTTGAGCAACTGCAGTGGGCTGGTCTGGACGATTCAGGTAGCCGATGGCTCCTTTTTCGCTGAGCCTCCTCGCATCTTCTTCGCTATGAGCGGCTCGAGCTTGTCGGCCTACATCTCCATCAACGTCACCAAGTACCGCCATGGAGCCGCCGACATCCTCCTCCGACTCGCCCAGACGCCCCTCAGCGGTCGTGTCAAGTTCGCTTCCTCTCGCAACGTCACCTTGCGCGTCTTCGCCGAGCGGATCAACTTCCCTCCGACCTTCAGCTTCGTCCAGCAGGACTTGAGCTGGACGGAGGACGCCGGGACTCTCGTAGCCCCCTGCTTCATCCAGGGCCTCGCTCCGGGCCCTGCGGAGGAGAAGGGCCAGTCACTGAGCGCCTCCATCCTCTCAATCTCCTCCTTGAGCTCCTCCTGGGCCCCCAGCGTCGCGTTCCAGCACCTGTTTGTCACAGTCAACGGGTCGTGCGTCGACCTCCAGCTCCTCCCCAGCAGCAACGTGAATGGCGTCTTCCTCCTCACCGTGCGACTGAGTGACAACGGCGGGGAGAGCATGGGAGGATACAACAATACCGACGTCAACCTCACCCTGACCATAGCGGCGGTGCCGGAGACGCTGACATTCTCCTTCAAGACTCCCCTCCTCACTATTACGGAGGTCAAGACCAGCACGCAAACCTGCATCCCCGACTTCGTCGAGCACAGCCCTCTTCCTCTCGACGAGCGATCCACGGTCGTCCAGTACCACCTGCTCGAGGAGGGAATGTTCGCTACCGCAGACTACTTCTCCTCGCTCCAGCTGCTGGACAACGGGACCCTCTGCTACCAGCTGCAGCCCAGCACATTCGCCAACCTGTCGTTCCTTGTCAACATCTCGATCTCCATGGGCGGACGGACCCGCTCGCAGTCGTCTGCCTTCTCCATCAACATCCTCCCGGTCAACCGCCCTCCCTCCTTCAGCCTCCAGCCTTTCTACGGAGTTCTGCAAGGCAGCTCGGGGCCCGTGCCCAATTTCGCCTTCGACGTGACGGCAGGGTCGAGGTACGAGGACGCGATCCAGCGAGTCTCCTTTGTCCTCCTCTCGGTCCAACCGGAGAGCTTCTTCCTCTCTCCTCCTACCGTCTCCTCCACCGGCACCCTCGAGTTTGAGCTGGCGCCGTCGGCGCACGGGGCCGCGACCCTGACGATGGTGCTCGTGGATGACGGGGGGAGGGAGAACGGGGGGGAGAACGTGTCGAGCATCATACTGACATCTCTCAAAGTCTATCCCCTCCCCCGCATCTCCTCCGTCTCCCCCAACTTCGGCAGCCCCTGGGCAACTACACCATCACCGTCCTCGGCGAGTACTTCGGCTCCCTGTACAGCAGGGGCTACGCTGCTCCCTCCTATGGCAACGTGTCAGTGACGGTGGGAGGAGGAGCCTGCGCGGAGGTGCAGGTGAGGTCGGACACCATGATCACTTGCCTTGCTCCTCCGGGGGAGGAGTCGGCAGACGTGCTGGTTAACATCAGCGATGGGCAGCTCTCGCGCGGGTGCAGCAAGCAGCATGCATTTGACTTCTCCGTCTTCTTCCTCGCCGGGCAGCACGGCAACGCGGGTTTCCTCGCTCAGTTCCGTTCGGAGCTTTACAGCGAAGGCACCGGCAGTCTCGTCGACCTGAACATCTCCAAGGTACCGCTGAATCCCATGCTCTACTCTTCCTCCTCTCCGCTCATTTTCCTTCCCTCCCTTCCCCTCCTTCTCCTCTGTCTCCTCCCCCTCCCGCTTCTCTTGCACCTCTCATCGCTCTTTCAGGCTGTTCGCGCCATTGTCTACCTCCACGGCCTCCTCTACCTCGGCGGCTCCTTCGATGCCATCAACGGCGAGCTTGTTGCCAACGTCGCCTCCTGGGACGGCACCAGCACGCGCTCGCTCGCCTACGGCTTGAACGGGGTGGTGGACGTGCTTGTCGGCTACCAGGAGCAGCTGGTGGCTGGTGGCTCCTTCGTCGCTGCTAGGAACGGCCTCGGGTCGCTCACCAAGACAGGCCCTGTGGCTGTGTGGGATGGGAGCATGTGGAGGGCGGTGGGAGGAGGAGCAGTCTCCGGCTCCGTCATGCTGGCAGCGGCGCGGGGTCAGCAGCTCTTCGTTGCCGGCAACATGCTGGTGGACGGAGGGGCAGGAGGCGCCAAGTCAGCGCGGGTGGCCATGTGGGATCAGAGCAGCTGGTCGGTGCTGGCGGGAGAGGTGGGAAGCAGGTGGAGGATGGAGGGGATGCTGAGCGGGCTGGCGATAGCGGACGGCTCCTTGTATGTGGGAGGAGACCTGCTGCTGGACGTTGGGACCCGGGCGAAGCTGGCAAGGTGGGACGGGGGAGGATGGAGAGTCGTGGCAGGGATGGAGGGTTCCGTGTTCTCCCTTGCTGTGCAGGGGAACGTACTTCTGGTGGCGTCGGTGGTGGTGGTAGAGGAGAGGAGCGTCGTATACTCCCTCAAGTCGGGGAGCGTCAGCGAGCTGCTCCAGGTGAACGGGACGGTGGACCTGCTGCTGTCGACGGGAGACTGCTTCTTCCTGTCTGGCATGCTGGATGGAAGAGGGAAGAACCTGCTGCGCTGGTGCTTCAACGACCGCAGGACGCGGGAAGTGCCAGTGGGCTGGGCCCTCCATCGCGCCAACGCCGCTGCTGTCCTCTGAACATGTTTTCAATAGAAATGTATGATCAAAACTCCTCGCATGCCTGCCTCCCAACCCCTTATCTGCCTTGCTCCCCTTAACCACTCCGGAGGCTTGCCTGCCTCCTCCCTTCTTATCGCTACCTCCCTCCCCCATCTCCCTCCCTCACGAGTCCCTCCCTCCCTCCCTCCCTCCCTCTCTTCCTCACCACAACTCTTTCCGCTTCACCATGTCCTTCCTCTCCCTCTCTCATTGCTCCCTCCTTATCCCACTTTATAGAGTTCACAACAAACAAAGCCATCACCCCCCTGAGTCTTTCACTGTCCGATCAGTGCAAATTTTCCAGCTCTCACCTGCTCCCCACAACTTGCCAATGTCCCCCCCCTACTACCCCGATCGTGAAGCAAGAATATGTGACTTCTGACGTGGCTTCCTGAGTTCATTATACTTAATCTTATATTGGTATCCGATGATCATACTCACGGTAAGGCTCCACCGTTGGCAAAGCCAGCCCCGCCCTACCGTACGGTCCGGCGAGGCTCGGCCCCCTCAGTGCCCAGCGTTCAGACAAACGTCCAAATCATCCCAGCACTCAACAAGTCTGAATGCTCTCAGTCGGATCCGATTGGTTCTCCCGGACCCGGTGGCCGGATAGCGGCCCGGCCCGGGCCGGGCCGCGGGCGGCACTGCGGCATCACAAGCATACTGTCACGGTGCTGCTAGTAGTCCCGGAGTCCGATCTTCTCCCTCCTGGGCTCCAGGCCTGTAGATTAATTGAGTAAAACTTGATCGTGAAACCCTAGTAGAGAGAAATGTCCGGGCCACTGGAAGGGAAGGGAGGGAGGGAGAGGCGGGAGGAGCGACAGGAGCGACAGGAGCGACAGGAGCGACAGGAGCGAGGGATCGAAGAGAGAAAACGAGGGACGAGGAGTACAGCAGCTAAGACAGAGGAAGCAGAATCTGCCCTTCCCTTGACTCCCCTCCATCCCTCCCCCCTTCGTTTCTTTCTGACTGTTCCTGTAGGCTAGAACCACCATGGTCGCTGCCTTCCATCCTCCTCCTTGCCTCCTGTCCTCCTCCAACATCGCCTTCCCCGCCGCCCGATATCACCCGACCGCGCCATCGGCGCTCTGCCTGAAGATGAAGGGCTCGGCAGAGGAGGAGGCGACGCGCATGGGAGGGAGGAAGGGATTCTACGTGCGACCATCGAAGGCACTTGAGAAGGTGAGCAGGGAGAAGGGGTCCTCCCTGGATGACAGAGCCTGCAGGGAGGGGGGTTCTATGTGCCAGGGCTCGAGGGGTATAAGCTGAAGCTGGCAGTGAGCGTGCTGGCGTTCTCCTTGCTTGCCATGTGAGACGCCTTGGAAGTCTCTCCTTCCCCTCCCCCCCTCCCCCTCCCCTCCCTCCTCCTCCTCCTCCTCCTCCTCTTACTCTGCTGGCAGCAACCGAGTGCTCCTACCAGGGTATCAGCCTACCATCAACCAGGTTCGACATGGCGGACATGCTGTCGGCTGTCAAAGTGACAAGGGCATGGCAGCAAACCTCCGAGGCCGTCGTCGTGTTCACCGCACTCTTCATCCTCATCCAATCTCTGCTTGACAAGGTAATGACCCCACCATTGTCCCTTGCTCACCCTGCGCAAGACGCTGCAGGAGGGGGGTGACAGCGACGATGAGTCGTCAAGGACAGGTACCTCCCTCTCTTCCTTCGTTTCCCATCCCCTTTCCCCTTCTCGCCCTTCGCCCTTCTCCCTTCCTTGCTCTCTCCTCCCCTGCTCTCCTATATCTTCCTCCGTCTTCGATACTCTCTCTTTTCTTCTCCTCCATCTCCATCCCCTCTCCTCTTCTCTTCCTCTGTTTTAACTGGTGAGGTTGGATTGCAGTTGTCCGATCCCGTCAAACTTTCACATCCGAGCAACTCGAAGACGAAGAACGTGAGAGGCTGACATGGCAGCTTGTTGCCTTCAAACAGGCTGTGAGCTTTGCCTCGCATGTTGTCGTCTGGTCAGAACAAGGGTACGAGACTCTCTGCTGTTACAATTCACAATCTATCATTGAATTCCTTTGATTGCCTACTGTCATGTACTGTTGATAAGCTTTGAATAACTTTGTCCCATCTGAACACAATGCAAACACAACAAAGTTTCTCCGGTTGTGTTGTTGTGATGTCGTATGACTGTATACATGCCCTTAACCACAGTTTTGCTTTCGTCTTTCAACCACACTTTTCAGTAACTGCCATGTTTTCATCTCATCTACGCGTGATGTTGTTGGATGGCCGATACCATCTCACCATACAAGTGTTCTTATTGTAATTTCAACTGTTTTTAGCGTGATTGCGGCAGACTGTCAACCGCCATCAACCATCACTGGCAACATGTCTCGTCAACTTGGGGATGTAAGAGCGAGATCATCTCTGCGATTCTACCTTATCCCTTGTAGCTGCTACAGGGCAAAGACTTGGTAGGCATCGACCGAACAAACTCTGCAGAGGAAATTTTCTCGCTCTTCCCTCCTTGTGAGAGTGTTCCTTCTTGTCATCATAGAGACTGCCCTAATGGTCATGAAGATGTCAGGGGTGCCATCCTGGGATCCTCGAGCGATCGACAACGGTTCTTCCTCATCGGGATGGATAAGAGGTGAAGACAGCTTTGAAATTTCCTCGCCCCCCCCCTCCTCTCTCCTTTATCCTATCTCCCCCTCCTCTCTCTCCTCTCTCCCCCCGCGTCAGACCTCCAGCTGCTCGAACTCCTTCATCGCAGACGCCTCGTCGAACTTCTCCCGCACGTCGTCCCGCAGGGGCATCCACACCACGTTGTAGCTCGCCTTCTTCGCCCACTCCACCCACTGCGACCACTCAGTCCGCTGGATCGAGTCCTTCGGCCAGTAGTTGCTCTTCGACTGTGACTCGCACACGTACAAGCTCCCGTTGCCTCCTCTCATCAGGATCGCCGTGTGTCCGAGATGTGATCCCGTCCCCCACATGATCAGCGGGTCCAGCCCGTCCAGGCGCACAACCCCGATCATGTCGCCGCTGCGCATGCGCGATGGGTCGACGGTCGCCAAGCTAGCAGTCGGTCGCATCTGGTAGTTGGCATACTTGCTCAGAAAGTTGAGGTTCTTGTCTGCTACACTGCGAGGAACGCCAGGTCCTCCCGTCAAGGCGCCGAGAAACAGCTGCAGCGTCTCCCATGTGTCAACAATGGTCCTCGCTACGGACTGCGGTAGTCGGAAGATCCGTACCCCGTTGGCAGTCATGTCTTCCAGCTCCTCTCCCTCCATCTTTCCCCAGTTGATCTCGTACTTGCCGTGCAGAAGGAAATCCACAAGGTCGTACCGGAAGGGGGTCGCGATGAAGTACGCGTCCTCGCAGAAGATGGCTACCGGGGAGTGCATCTCAACGGTGACCTTTACGTTGTGCAGGGGGTCCATGTTGACCTCGGAGGAGGTTTCGTTGAAGCAGTTCCCCGTCCAATGGATCCCTCCTCCTCCTGGTCGGAGAGAACCTATGTACTCCGGTACGAAGCTCCACTCAGGGCCAGGAAGCGTCTCATGGTGCCGATCGCGCCCCTTGTGCCGTTTGGTCCACGTCCCCTTGCTGAAAGAGTCCCTCCTGAAAGAGTCCCTATCATCTACAAACTTCTTCATCAGCAGCTCCATGGACTCAAGAGCTGAAGACAATCCATGCTCGCGCCTCGGTTTCTTCGCCTCCCTCGCCATCACAGCGGACTTTGCCCTGGCCATACCCTGCATCTTCATATATACCTTCGCCTTCATGTCCTGCAGACTCTCCTCCCTTCCTGGCCGGACGGCTTGAATCACCATCTCCTCCCTCTCTATCGCTTCCTCTCTCCTCATCCCCAGACCTCCTCCTACCCATCCAGCCATCGCCACCGCCAGAAGGAGTCGCGACATGTTGGCCGTTCCTCTAGCAATGCCGAGCTCGCCTCAGGGCCTCACAAACCGACCAAACCAAAATCGAGATTTTATTCGATTTGCAGCAGAATACAAAGATTGAAATCATTTCGAATCGAATGTACCCCACCCTTTCGAAGAAATACCCCTGCAATGGGCTACCCACCCTTTAAGACACTTCTCCCTCCAATTGATAGCTCATTTGCTTCCAATTCCTCATGGGGTGATTACCCCTACCCGTTCGTTTCGAACCCCACCCCTTCAAATTCTGACTGGACGCTGCCCCTTCGCTGTCGCCATGGCTCTCCGCTTCTTGCTGCCAGCGTGCGCCGTCGCCATCCTCTGCGCGGCCCTGGTGAGCATACGATGCAGCAATGAAATATGTAGATCCATGCTCCTCCTGCTTGCTGTTCATGTTCATCTCCTTCTCCTCCTTGAGGATGCTTCAACCTTTGCTTTCGTATGAACACTTTTGTTGCTCTATTGTCTTGTTGAGGAGTTGCCATCTCCCTTGCATGTCTCCGCATATGCCGTAATCTTGAATTTGCCGCTGCTGTCCTGTTATGTCAGTGGCACGCTTGTGTATGCTTGAAGTATTGTGAAGCTGCCCATCAGCTTCTATAGCATAGCATGCCTCTGAGAAACTCAGCGGGTCTTGTACACGTTCTGATGACATGTTTCCAGCTCCTTGCAGGGTATGGATCAAACAGAACAGAGTTGTTGGACAAGAGGTTTGTAGTCTGCTCTCTGATTCGATCTCGTTAAATATTCTTTTTACAGCGCCGTGAAGAATGAGGGAAGGCAGGAAATGCTCGCTGCTGCTGCTCAGGTAACTGCGCAAGATGACACATGGTGTCGACTTCGTTCTGAATTCACTGCAGCAACGTTTGGCAAAGAAGGATGCTCGTATCTTCAAGAGCTTGGAGTTGGCTGCTCAGAAGAAGGTGATACTATTGTAGGAGTAGTAATCGCAACCCGCCTAACCAGCTCGACAGGTCGAATCGGGAGTCATCCTTGACAAGGAGTTCATCGAGGCTCGCAACAAGCAGATCGTGCTGGACGAACGTCTTGCTCAGCTCAAGTGACTAGTCCTTGCGCTGTGGGTGCTTGCGAGCTGACGGGATGAGCAGCCGCAAGTTGCAGGCACAGAGGCAGGCTCTCGCCTACATCTGGCCCAGGACCATGGAGCGCGCAGCCGTCACCAGAGAGATGTAGAGATCTCTTGACACCCACTCGGAATTCTCACATGGACCCAGGAACTTGGGAGAGAAGAAGCTCGTTAACACGCTCCCAAAGCTCCACAAGGACATCCTTGCGGTCCGCCAGGCCCTCAAGAAGACCCTCGACGAGGTGAAGCCAGCCAAGAAGGAGCTTCGCACCTCCGACGAGATCTTGGTGAGAGAGTTTCAGATGAGGTTTCCGCCAGCTCATGTGTGGTGTAGGCCAAGTCTGAGAATGCCTACAAGCTCTTCGGAGCTCGCATCGAGCAATCTCGTGAGAAGGCTCGCCTTGCCAGACAGCAGGATCAGGAGCTCAGAATGGGTATCATCATGCTGTTTGGATTCAAGGCATCTGACAGACTCGATGCAGGTGCGATGTTGGCAGAGAGAGCTTCCCAGCAGCTCAAGGCCAAGGCAATCTCTTCGGGCAACAAGCAGGAAGCTGCTCTTCTCCTTCAGGTCCTCTTCTACTCCATCTGCTGCAACTTCGCTGATACGGCCGCAGGAGTCCAAGGAGCAAGCTAGCAAGGCTGACATGTACAGAAAGCAGGCGGACGAGTCTGTCCAGACGGCTCAGTTGTTGGAGGCTGAGGCGGATGAGGCGGCGTCGTACATGAGCATGTTCGGATCCGACTTGACTCAGGCTAGCGCTAGGAGGAAGCAGGCTCTGAACAAGTTGGAGTTCCTCTCCCAGCAGTACCAGAGAGGGTCGCTCCTGGAGCAGGCTGCTGTCCAGAAGGAGAGGGCGCTCGCCTACGAGATGAACAACGCTCAGAACTCGCTGAAGCAGGACAAGAGGGAGCTCAAGCAGGATGAAGCTGCTCTTGCCACTGGGGAGAAGGCCACCGCCAAGACTGTGACTGAGTTGAACGTCGACAAGAAGTCCGCCGTGCAGAACTACAAGAGTGCCATTGCTGATCTCACCAAGATCAGGCAGGACAAGGCCAAGTACGTCCGTGATGCTGAGCAGGTGAGGCAAATAGTCTCTTCGGACCTCTGTTGCTCACGCTCTCTTGCAGGCCATGGAGGTTGAGAACCAGGCTTTCGCTCACAATCAGGCCGCTGAGCACTTGAAGCTTGCCTCCGAGGCTGCTGCTGCTGAGGTCAAGAAGTAGATACAAGCCAGGGTTTAAGTCGAGGTCGAGGTTCGGGCAGATAGCGAACTTGCGCTGCCGCTGTCCTGTTGTTGTTGGGTCAGGCGTGTGGGATGCTTGAGAGCGTTACAACTTATGTCTGGGTATGAATGAAATGAAGAGATAGATGGGACAACATTTGAAATGCACCAGCTGCATAATCTGCACTCGTACACAGAAAGTTCGAAAAGCTTCACCAGATACTTCTTGGCTTGCAAGTCATACATGACAAAACTTAATTCAGCATACATGCCAAACTTTATTGAACACACTTAAATTCATAAGATACATTACACGAGGTCGCTGCCATCATCAATCCCTTGGAACCGCTAGTTTCTTTCTTTCTCAAGCTCCTGTTCCTGCCTCTCCCGCTCCTCCCTCCCTCCCGCTCCTCCTCCCTCCCGCTCCTCCTCCTCCTCCTCTTCCCTCCGCATGCTCGCGTCCACCCCTTCCACTCACATGCATCTCTCCTTCCACCTCCATTTTTGCCCTTAAAAGGGGTTTTAAAATGCACCGTCATGCAGGCAGGGGGGTGTGGGATGGGGGTGCTGGAGGGAGAGGAGGGGAGGGAAGGGGAGAGGAAGGAGGAAGGAGGAAGGAGGAAGGAGAAGAGAGGAGGAGAGGAGGACGTGGAAGGGAACGAGGTAGGGAAGGTATGCATGCAGAGAAGCGCGGATCGAGGAAAGGCGGAGACAAGAGGAGAGCTGGGGAGGCCTGATGGGAGGCTGACTAGAGCGCGAGGGAAGAGGGAGGAAGAGGAGGGAGAGAATGGAGGAGGAGACGAAATTTTGGGAATGGAAATGAAGGACAACGCCACAACAGTGAAAAGAAAGGTCATTCTCATGGAGCATAGGAGACTTGCTGTGCAAGCACAAGGGTATGAGCTAGGAAAGGAACAGACAGACAGCGCACGTACGAGGGAAGGAGCAAGAAGTAAGGCTGTTGTGAAGATGAGGATGACCGTTGTCTTGTCGATTGCTGCGATCTCGTTGGGTCGTCTGACTTGTGTAGCTGCCAGCACAGGAGGTGACAGGGTAATGATATGAGGAATGAAGGATGCGAAGCTTCCAGGTGAGTCTCGGCTGTGCGCGAGTGCTGCTGATGGAGGAGACCAGGTGCCGGGATCCCCGCTGAGCGAGTCTAGCTCGAGCCTCGAGTTCTCCGTGGAACGGGACGACTGGCAGAGGGCGGAGGGCGAGGACGCCAACGTGACCTCCTCCTCGTCTGTGAGGGCGTGGAAGGACTCGCTGGTCAAGATTCTGTCTCTGAATCAGAATTGGTTCGACAAGGGGGAGGAGCAGCACACAGAGATGAAGGACCTCCCAGCCGAGAGCGCCACTAGGAACCGCCGACATGACTCCAGCTGGGGCGCGACGGCTGCGCGCTATAGCGGCGGCCTGAGCAAGGCGGTGGACGGGACGATGAAAGATCTTGAGGGAGGCATGCTCTACCTCCAAGACGACGGGCCCAGCTACATGCGGGTCTCCTCCTCCCGGATGACCTCGGCTGACCGCTGGAAGTCAGCGGCATCCCAGCTCATCTACTCTCCCATCGCCAAGTTCTACTACGGCCTCATGATCCTGGTGACGGTGGTGGAGCTTGTAGTGACTCTGGCGGACCCGCACCGGTCGCCGCACACGACCTGGTTCATCGGGCTCGAGCTCTTCATGGTGGCGATGCTGGTCAACGAGGTGATGATCCGGTACATCGCCGAGGGCAGCCCGACAAGCTTCTTCCGCTCCAAGTCCAACATCTTCGACATGGCGGTGGCTCTCCTTTGCCTCTTCACCGTCACCTTCCTCATCCTCATGCCCTCCACGATGAACGGGGTGCAAGAGTGGGTCCCCCTTGTCGCGCTGAGGATCCGAGACTTCCTCCGCATCCTCCGCTTGATCTTCCTCTTCAAGAACCATCGCAAGGCCCAGCTCGCGGGCCAGTCGATCATGCACTTGCGCATCGACGAGACGGATGCAGACCATCTCATGGGCTCCAGCAACTGCATCTTCGACTCGCCGTCGCACGACCCCCTCGACAAGCAAGGTGAGAACTCTCTCTCTCTCAAGTGCTGTAAGTGATGGTGCTGTCTGCAGCCGTGGACATGAGCGCGGCCTTCGGGAAGCACATTGCAAGCCCTCCTCTCAGTCCTGTTCCTCCGCAGACGCTGTGAGTGGACAAGGAGGAATGGAAAGACGAGGGACGATGGGCGCGGAGCGGGGCAAGTACACCTATTGCCATGAAGGAGGATAAAGAATTGATGAAATGATTCTAATAAAGTCGATGTGACAACTAGGTATAGCAGATCTTCCTCCTTGCTCCTTTCCATCCTCCCTCACCCAGCCTCCCACCGGCCATTCCTTAACAACAGCAGATGCACTCCGCTTGCTTCCCCGACTTGCTGTCCCTCAAGGGGGAGGTTAAATGCTTGCTAGCACAGCAACACTTCTAGTTGGAACTCTCCTGCTCTAAGATCGCTGTCACCTCGTCGGGGGGGATGTCCTTTGACGGCTACGCAGGAGTTCGGTCACTGGACGGAGGATGCAGAATGAAAATGTTTACCTCGAGTCCAACGGATTTGTTGTCGATGGGATCAAACCTCACCATGTCCATGTTGATGATTCTGGAAGGGCTATCGTCAAACACATCAAGACTGCAGGATGATACAGAGCACACCTCACACCCCCGAATATTCTCTCTGGAAGCTCGTCCTCCTCTCTGCTCTCAATCCATATCAACAGGTCACACACAATGTCCTTGCAAGCCCTTCGAATCACGCTCAGGATCGCACGTGCAAACACTGATGATGTGACGTCGCAGGTGGCTTCCAGCAGATCGTCAGTTTGATAGAAACTAGTTGTCAGCTTGTTTCCTAGGATTGCAGGCACTGGCTTCCCCACGGCTTTGCGTACCACCCAGTTTGCTTGAACCAACGAAGTGATCAACTTCACCCTTTCTGACTTGTAAGCATCATTGCCCTCTAAAAATCTCTTCCAGGTCCTCGCAAATGGCTTGTCTGTCTCCAAGACCTCCTCGTTCAATTCAAACGCAAGGATCAGGTGCTGTGGCTCGACATCGAAATGCATCACGAACATGAACTTCGGTCTATTCGTCCCAGGGATCAATGTACGCGGCCACTTCTGTAGCCTCTGATCCTTTGTAGCAAACCTTATCTTGTCTGCTGATGTAAACCCGTGTACGCTGACCAAGTTGAAAGCGGAAGCAGCTGATGGAATCTTTTGCTTATCCTTCAAGTAATTCTTACCTCGCACTTCAGTCTTGGTCACATCGCTCACTTGCCAGTTGTGCTTTGCTGCTCCAAACTGAAGCTTGGGGCCCAACCTCGCCGTACAATCATTCAAATCACTCGAACTCATGATGTGTGACGGGTGAAGGAGGGTGAGTTGTCCCTGATAGTGTTCTCCTGTAAACCAGCTGTATACAAAGTCGTTGTGACGTCACCTACGGAGATGCGTCAGCGATAGAAGTGTTGGTTGGACTCGTCATGATTCATTGCTCTGCTGATGGAGCGAGGAGGCACAGTGCTGCATCGCATTGCACAGGGACACAACCATGACATCGCGAAGTAAGAATGTCTGCACTCTTCCCATGGACTCAGAGAAATCACCGTTGCTGCTCTCATTCTATCTCACTAACTGTGGGTTGCCACCATGGTACTTCTATGCTACTTGAGCACCTTCAAAAGAAGCGTCTCATTTCCGTAGCCTTCGCAGCATCCAAGGCTGCCTTTCCAGTGCATCAGATTCACCGCCAGAGACTCAACCCCGTTTCTAACCCCTTGATCCTCCTATTTGTCTCTTGGTATCATTCTTTTGCCCTCATCGTAGCTATCTTTATCTCTGATTCTCTCACAACCTGAAATAATTCCATTTCATAATCCCTGAGTCACTTTACTGCCATCCATCCATCCTGTTCTTTCTTGATCCTCTCGCATCATCTGTTCGGTGCCCGTGCATTCTCAATCAATGTATCCTTCACCGCCCTCTCCTCTCCTCTCCACTCCACTCCACCGTGCTCTCGGTTCCCTCCGTCGCACGCCCTGCTGTCCGCATCGACTGGGGGCTGCACACCTGCACTTTCTTCTAGGGGGTGGGGGTAGTAACACCTAGGGGTCCTTCGAAGTAGAGTTTTGGTGGTCAAAATATCGAGGGAGGGGTCACCAGAATTTGACCACACTGAGGACCTACCGGTGGTGGACAAATGGGGTATTCGATGTAGACTTTCATGGAAGTACCCGGTCCATGCCTGGTGAGAAGACTGGCAGAAGGGGTATACTGATCTTAAAAGTTAGAGCCCAGCAAGGGCGTCTACTTTGAGCCGGGAGGGGGTGGGCAGCATGAACACCCCGGCTGGGGTGGGTGGATGATTCAGGGTCTTAGTGGGTAGGGTGCTAAACTAGTTCAGGGTACACGAGTGGCGGGCCAACAACCCCCGGTTATTCCCAACTTCACCCCCTCATCCACTTGAGGGTGGGTGGGGGGTTCATCCTGCCTGCGCCTTGATTCAGGGGTCGTGACCCTGACCCCCGGTAGATCGAGCCTGCCGGGTACCTGCGACTCCTATATGACCCCACCCCTGTGAAACCACAGGATTCTCCCATGACAGTTCTACCGAATTCAGTGACCCCTACATACTCCGAACGGACCCCACCCGGCAACTCGGCGAGTCAGTCCTGACCCGTACCACCCCTCATGATAATCTCCTATAGGTGTATAACTGAAGTACCGGTGTCACAAGCAACTGGCAATCACGGTGGCCCACTGGGGTCTGTTAAGTTGAATGAAAAGAACCCCTTCCGAACTTCCCCCGGCACCCTACCCCATCACACTACCCTAGCCCACAATGCTCCACCCCACCCTGTCCGGCCCCGTGCCACTGCAGTGCCATCGTTCACGGTCCGGGCCCCGGCCATGGCTCTCTCAACTTGAAAGTGCTTCTATTTTTCACTGCAACTCCCTTGGTCATGATGGGGTCACGGTCCCCTCACCACACACCCCACCCTATCGCCAGTGATACCTACCCCACCCCTATCGTTTAACATGACACAACAAGTATCAGTTAAATTTGGAGGACAGCAGTCGCCAGCATAAGGATTATACTCGCTGTCTTTTCTCTTCTCGCCGTATGGCTCAGCGGCTTGTACGCCGGGGTCTCAAGCCTCCTCTACTCTCCCGATCGTCATGGTACTGAGTTTTACTTAACTTTGAGTAAAAGGGCGATCCTACCCCACCTTTTGACGGTTATTGGACGGTTTGGGGTATTGTTAGTCTTGACAGTTACGAACGTTATCATGCCCAGAAATAGAGAACATGGCAGGAGGGGATGGGGTTAGTATGGGACTAGGAAGGGAATGGAAGGGAAGAAGGTAGGATGCGAAGCTGCGACGAGCAAGGGAACGCCCACAGGAGCAGGAAGTTTGCCGGACGATAGCAAGGAGCAGATGGTTCGGAGTCAAGGATAGCATGCTGAATGGAGAGTCCTGGTTGAACAAGTTTGTGATAACAAATGGTTGTGTGTCCACTGCCAAGTTGCCTTTGAGTTCTTAGACGCTGAGACGCCCTTGCAGACAGATGGTCTTCTCCCTCCTGTGGAACTTGACTGGATCCGATCCCTATGAGGTGAACGAGCTCGGACAGGTAGAGTAGACCCGGTGATGCTGGCACGATCCACTGATACGCTGCCTCTTTCAAAGTCATGCAGAACCTCTTTTGCGAATGAGGGCCCGGCTGTTGTTCTCGGATGCAATGCCGACGCATCGGGAAGATCATGGTGAGTGACTCTGTTGTCAGACTCCCTCATCCTCCTCGTCTACTCCCCCCCTGACCGCAATCTCCACCCCTCTCGCCTTCTGCTTGCCCTCTCCCGCTTTTCGTATGCTCCTCTCCACACTCTCTACCGTCCTCCACTCCTCTTCTCTATCTCTCCGAGTCCCAACCCTGCTCTTCCTGCCATCGCCGTAATCCTCAACCATTGCTAGGGACACATGGAAGGGAAAAAAGACGGCAGTCGCCACCTTAGAGCCATACTGGGAGAACCCGTGGGGTGAGGGAGGGAGGAGGAGCTTCGGTCATGCGCTTACGTGGCGCGTGCAGGTGCACCTGGAGGCTCGACGTGGGGCAAGCCTGCGAATGTCGGGACCAACTATTATTGATTGAGGGAGGCCCGGAGGAGGATGAAGGGGTTGGGGGGGGGGGGGTTAGAGCAGGAGATTGCAAGGGGAAGATTACGAGGCGCTCACCCGGGCTGGATGATTGTGATGCAGCATTGGTGCCGTTGATAGGAGAGTTTTGAGTTCCCAAGTTTTCTTTTGCTTTAAAACCCAAATGCTCGTTGAATGAACTGAGAAACATCTCCTGTACTGTTCTTCACCCGCTGAAGTAGCATAAGCTGTGCAATGCATTATCTTTAGCAGCAGCAGCACCAGCAGCAGCAGCAGCATCACATTGGAGTCGACTCAGCTCTTCCCCTCGATCCTCCTACAGCGTGTTCGCTCGCTGTGCCAGAGGATGGGGAGGAGCGAGTGCGGCAGCGTTGAATGTGTTTATGAGTATATATGCTGGCTTGTGCCAGCAGTGAGATTTTGACGACAACAAGCGTAATTGTGATTATCCTCTGGTTGAGGAGATCTGCTTGAGTCAGCCCCTTTTCCCATGAACGCGCTAATTGAAGCTCGTCCTGTCTCCCGATCCTCTCTCGCCCTCCTCCCCTCCCATCGACCTCTCCTCCCTCCAACATTCCTCAACCATTTCCCTTCAGCTTGCTCCTTCCCCATCCCCAGGTCTGTCCCAGCTCCACCCTCTGTCACTCCTACGACGCCTCAGTCGTCATCCCCTGCCTCCTCTGCATCTGTTCGCGAGAGCTCGTACTCTCCTCGAGCTTCCACGTCGCCATGGCGGCGGTCAGCTTGACCGTCTCCTTTGATGATGCCAACAGCGAGGACGGAGATGATCTAAAGCAGCATGATTCATGGAGAAGAGGATGGGAAGGAGGAGGCAGCTAGCGGGGAGGGGCAAGGGACGATGAAAGCGGGAGAGACTCAAGAACAGAGAAAGGGGGGGGGGGAGCAGGAGAGAGAGAGCGAGGAGGCGACGTGGGAAGTGGGAGGGGAGGGAGCGTTTAGGGGAGGTGAGATACTGGGGCGTACCGGGCAAACAGAAGCCAACGACAAGATCCCGAACCTGCAGAAGCGAAGAGAGAGAATGATAGGGGGAAGGGGGGAGAAAGAGGAGGAGCGAGAGACGAGAGTGAAGGAAAGAGGTGATAAGACTCGAGAAGCAGCCGCCCCCCTCACAAGCTCACCCGTCAGCTGCATTGAGCGCTCGGCCGAGGCCGAGTCCAAGGGAGATGACGAGAGGGACCTTGGGACATCATCAGCTCGCTCGCTCCTCCTCTCTCCCTCCTCTCCCCACACTCCTCTGGCTCCATCCGCCGCCTCTCGCTCATCGCTCCTCTGCTACTTCCTGCCTCCTCTCACCGTGACTGGCCCTGTAGTGACCCCAGCTGAATCCCAGGCAACACAGATAAGGATCTCCCCGGCCATAGTTGTCAGGATGACCGCCAAGGTGTAGCCTACGAGTAGGAGGGGGAGCAGGGGGAAGCCGATGACGATCTTGAGGAGACCCAACGCGGTTCCTGTCCCGACACCAAGAGCAACGGACAGCACAACTTGACGCTAATGAGAGGAGTGAGGTTACGGAAGGCAGAGCAGGCAGGAGGAAAGCGAAGGAGGGAGCTGAGACTGATGGGAACAAAGGATGGAGCAGGATACAGCTTCGAAGAAGGAAGGCTAGATAAAGATAGGGAGGGCAGGAGTGGACAGGTAGATGGAGGCGGGAAGCAGGCAGGCAGGCAGGCAGGACAGGGAGGAAGTGACCTGCGTGATTTTCCCGCGAGAGAGTCGGTCCACCGTGACCGCGAGGGTGAAAAGAGCTGGTTCCGCCAGAGTAGCTCCGAAGCCGAGAACCTGCCAACGTTGTGAGCGGAGGCTCCTCCTCCCCTCATGCCTCTCACCCATGCGAAGAGAACAGCGATGAAGGTGCCGAGCTCTCTGCCCCAGATGGGGGATCCTGAGGGACAAGAAGGATCAGGCGAAACGGGAACCCCGGGATTTAGAAAAGAGAGAGAACAGGATACGTGTTGTTGTCGTCGTGGTTGATGATGATGATGATGATGATGATGATGATGATAATGTGTTGGTGGTGGTGGTGGTGTAGTAGTAGGAGGAGCAAGAGAGGGAGGAAGAGGACAAAGGAGAGGAGAAGGACGAGGCGATTCAAGTGGACGAGGATGGATCAGCTCAACATCACAGGGACTGAGATCAAACCTTTGATCTCTTCCATGCTCGTGAAGGCAGAGGGCATGACGCCTCCTACCATGGTCCCCAGCTTAGAGAGACCTTGAGTGAGGCCTACGTTGAACACTATGATGCCGATCTGCAGAGGAGGAGCGTTACTCTATCGCAGGAGGTAGGGAATAGAGAGGGGGACGAGGACAGAGGGAGGGACAAGGGAGAGGGCAGAAAACGAAGAGGAAGAGTAGGTACTGCTCAAGATTCGCAAAGCGGGAAGAAGGAGGGGGGAAGGAGGAGGGGGGGCGGGGGGGAAGTGCACAGACCTGAGCGGCAAGGAGGGCTGCAGAAGCCTTGAAGATGACGCTGCTGCCCGGGGTAAGCTCGAGTGTGACCTGGGCACAAAGTTCAGAGCATCTCCCGACTCCTCCCCGCCTCCTGACTGACAAGAAGCTGTCTAGTATCCCGGAGGATACATCGAAGAAGGAAGATCATGATTGCAGCGAGCGGGACCAGCGCTCGCACCCCAGCGATGATCTCAGCGTAGGGGGTCTGGTCGTACCACAGGGAGGAGGAGGAGGAGGAGGAGGAGGGCTCGTTGGCTCCCTTCTGCAGCTGCACTAAAGTTCACAACCAGGAAGAGGCTGCAAGTGCAACAGGGAGACCGAGGGGAAGGAAGGGGAGTTAGTCGACGCCTCCAGCTCCTCCAGGATGTTGCTAGGGAGCGACAGCGCGAGCAAGAGGACCTGGTAGCAGACGTCAGGAATCACCGCCAGGGCAAGCAGAGCCAAGGGAGCAGAGGTACCGTGATCACGGGGATGAGGGAAGCGAACGTGACAACCCCGAAGCCCGTGAGAGGGGAGGGGTTGTTGCCTGCTGTTGCTACCCCGAGCCCAAGTGCGATCACAAGTGGGACCTTCAGGGACGAGCATGAGAACGAAACATTACCGCCTGCCATCCTCCCTCCTCTCATCCTCTACGGCTCATATCCACATGTAGGTTGATACGCATGAAAGCACCGCTCTCATGCTCTCCTCCTCCTCCTCCTCCTCCTCCTCGCCTCATGCTCGCCTCCTCCTCCTCCCCCCCCCCCAACCCCAGGGCATGAGCATGGAGAAGAATCGACCGCCGCCGGTGCGGGCGGCGACAGGAGGAGGAGGAACACGAGGATGGAGTAGATGCAAGACAAGAAAATTACTGGGGGAAACGAACCGAACAAGTGCTGCTCACGGTACGGCGTTCCTGGGATGGGGGGCCATTGCCCGGCAGGGTTCCGTTCTTTCTCCTCTCCTCCCTCATGAATCCCCTTCCCCCCTGTCATCGGGAGGAGGGCCCAGAACCCCTTTCCTTCTTAACGATAAGGTGTTGATGCTGTTTGCTCTCGCCCCCCCTGGATGAAGGAGACGACAACTTTGACACCCCCGACGGGGGGGGGTGGCGGGAGGAGGAAGACCACCCACCATCTTGCCATCT